TGCAAGGCCTTGATTCTTTCTCTCCCCTGCTCCTGACTTGCAATGTGATCAAGTGCTTGCTCCCCATGACCCAGCCACCACATTCTCCATTTGCTATGAGTACGCCAAGAAGTGAAGGCACTGTGCCTGTACTACTACACCGTCTGGACTCTGAACCTCCAAACCAGTGAGCTAAATAAGCCTTTCCTTTATAGATACTGTTCTCTCAGAAGTTCTGTTATAGCCACAAAAGCTTTCTAATACAGTGTGTATGCAGTCTTGCTACAGCACAGACTGCTGGGTCTCACAGCTAATTTCAGATTCAATAGGTCCAAGATGGACTCAGGAGTCTGCATTTCTACGCATTCCAAGATGGAGTCCATTAGGGGCCAGGGCTCACACAGGGCAAATCACTGACCCAGGAGACCATAAATACTGGGAAGACCTTGAAACTTGCTCACACACATACCATGGTGCCAAGCAGAGATGCTCTTTCAAGGAGAGTAAGCTGAACTCAGATGAGCCACAACTGAATACTTCTCACCCCTTCATGAGATTCACAGAGAATCAGAAACAGCACAAGCGGTGGAAGAAAAAGCAAATAAGAGACAGTCTTGTATGTTTCATCTATAATGTAGTAACTGAGGCCTTCAATAGCTTTCCCTCACATCTCACAGAGGAAGCTTATACCTTTATCTACTTGCTCCCAAACCCTCTAAAAACCAACCTAGATAGACCTTTTCCCTCCTTGAAACTATTGAAGCTGAAATTTCAGAAGTCTCTAGGGACTTCCTACTACCCAAACCACTAGGGTCTTAATCTCCATTTATACCATTGTTTTAACAACCTGTTTACCTTACAATCCTCAACTGCTTTGACCTTCATAGTTCAACTGATTTAACTATACTCTCAGTCACTTTTTACAGAATTGTTCTGTTGTTTTAAAAACTTCTGAGGGGCTGGGCTTGGTGATACAGGTCTTTAAACCCAGCCCTTGGGAGGCCAAAACAGATGGCTTTCTTGTGAATTCAACCCCTTCCAGGGCTACATAGTGAGACCTTGTGTCAAAACAAATAAAAACAAACAAATAAAACTTTGGTGTGGGGGGTTTCCAAGATTCCACCCCTAGCTGAGGAGCTACTGACTGCTGAGAAAGGGAATGTCAATCATTTCAGGGGTGTGGCTCCTGGTTGGTTGCTCATGCTCTACCAGATGGCCTGAGTCATGACAGGTTAGGTAGCGCTAAAAGGACTTAGTTTTTTTTTTTTTTTTAAAAAAAAGAAGACATGAAGGTGGGAGAGGGGCATGTGTTGGGGAGGGGAGAGGTTGTAGAGGGTGGATATGATCAAGATACACTTTGTATACATGTATGAAACTGCCAAAGCATTTTTTAAAAATTCTGCTTAATCCTTCACATTTTTGTCAATGAAAACCTCACCTTGTCCCAGTCTCTCCAAACACTCCCATAGTTTACTACAGCATGTTTCCATTGCAGTGCTATTCCAAAATGTCATTCTCTTTGGAAAAATAAAAACTTCGATTATGAAGCTCTTAAGCAGGGAAGAGCCATTCCCCCACAGCACAGGTGAAGATTTGCCCTGAAGGCCAGGAGGGAGCCACAAATGTTCTGCATGTGCAAATGTCCTGGGTGCCTGTTAAGCTTCTCTCCTGAAGCATGGGCTTCCTTCCACAAACTAACAGCGATTTTTTCTCCTAAGCATTCTAAATCAGGTAGGAGAAAAATGCAAGTAGATTTCAATATCAGCCCACAATCTGAGCACCAGGGAAGGCAATAAAAAGGTAGAATTCTATGGGCACAGGACTGGAGATGGTAGACCTCAGAAACCTCTGCACTAGAGTTGACAGGGAATAAAAAGTACATGAAATCCTTTAACCTCTGGGAGGGAGGGAAGGAGGGAGGGAGGGAGGGAGGGAGGGAGAGGGAGAGGCATTGCATGACACAGGTGCACTTACCTACATGCAGGCAATACACACATACACATAAAAGAGAGAGAGAGAGAGAGAGAGAGAGAGAGACTGACTCTGAGACTCACTCTGCAGCCCAGGCTGGCCTCGAATTCACTATGTAGCTAAGGCTGGCCTGGAATTCACAGCAATCCTCCCTCCTCTGCCTTGAGCCACCACACAGGTCTGTCGCAACATTCAGAAATTTCCATCACAGTGCAAGCAAAACAATGAGAAGTGGCCTGGCCATAGGGGAGATGACCCCAAGTTCGGCAGACTTCTTCACAGTCTCCTTAGCATCTCTTCCTTCTGGTACATCCCTCCTACAGGTGTTCACCCACAGTCCTACCCTGATTAACTTTCCCCACTTGATCTCTTTTTTTGGGTTTTTGAGATAGGGTCTCCCTATAGACCCAGCTGGCCTAGAACTTTCTACGTAGAGCAAGTTAGCCTCAATCTGTCACGGAAATCTGCCTGCCTCTGCCTCTGGAGCACTGGAATTAAAGGTGTGTGCTATCAGGGCCAGCCCTCTGAGTTAATCCTTATGGAAATTATTTAAAAGCACTAGCCTTTGTCCTTACTTTAAGTCAGTTCATTCCCAATAGAAAATTTCAGCAATTACCTCAAACTAACGTGTGAATTATGTAACTTTAACATGTCCTGCAACCCCATGTCTACACCTAACCTATGTCTACATCTAACATGCCTCTTCACTCCCACTGGTCCTTAGTCTGTCGGTGGCTGTCACAATCTTTCATCTCAGAACTTTGTGAAGAACTCCATGTCTTCCCTCCCCCATCAAGTCCTGAAGAATGAAGTCCAAAGGATGAAAGCCTTATATACATTTTACATCTTTCCATAAGTTTAATGCTATGCACAAAGTAGGTTCTTAAATAAGAGGTAAGCTAAAAGTATTTTTAACCCAAAATTCCTGAATCTAGCCTCTATTCCCATTCCACAGTCACTAACTTTTACTTAATCCTACGTCATTCTTCCCAGTGTAGCCGAACACCTACTGTCTGGCCTCCCTTTCACCAGTCTTTCCCTATTTCAACCCATCACAATATAGTCAATCAGTTTCCTTTCAAAAAGTAAAGCTGCTACTAAAGACCTCTGACAGCTGGCAAGATGGCTTAACCATCATGAATGGCAGTTGCTGCCAAGCCTGACAACCTGAGTTCAATTCCTGGAACCCACATGGTGGAAGGAGAGAAGTGACTCCTGCAAGTTGTGTGCAAGAAGTGACTCCTCCTTCCACGTGGAAACGCACATAAACGTGTATATATATATATATATATATATATATATATATGTGTGTGTGTGTATATATATATATTTGATATTTTTCCATTACACACATCTTGTTTGAAATTCACAAACCTTCATGATCTGGTTCAACCTTTCACCACACTCTGCCATGCATCTTAAGGAGCTTTTGTGATAGCAAATATAGGCTATTCTCTTCACCAGGAAAACTATCACTTCCTCCAACCGCCTTCCCTACTGAAACTTCCACCCTTACCCAGTCACTGCTCCTCTGCACTCCCACTGAACTAGCACCTGTCATCCTAATTATGCACCATATTTGAAGAGTCTATTAAAGGTGATGCTCAATGGACGCTGACAGACTGTTAACAGGGGGCACAAAATAAGGGTTTGTTGAACTAACTTAAATATTTCCATATTTCAAGAAAATCTTTCAACATCTTTTATTACTTTGGATAATGATGCAATTATTTCAACAACATGGTCACTGCTCAAAGCATTTTTGGAACTCCTTGTTTGCATTTAGAACTGCCTTCTAAGCTTTTTTACCCTCTAGAGATGGAAATCAGTCCCCTAACTCTATACTCATGAAACATTTTCAACCAAAAATAGTAGTGGCAAATTTGAGCACTGCCATCCTCCACCCACCTTCCTTCATCATATGGAATTGTTCCAAACTCCTGGCTCTCTCAAACAAGGAAGTCTTCCTCAAAAGATGAAGACTTGCTCTTACTGACACTGTCACAGGCTCTTGAGGATTTCAAATGGAAATGCAATGGGATTTTGTGGATGGTGGCACAGTGGACTCAAAAGGCTGCTATCTGATGATGAAGACTTAACCACGCATGTTTTGATGCAGGTTTTATTTTCTTTAAATGCTCCCATTTCACCTTGCTGAATATATGTTGAATAAAATCAAAAGGGGGAAAATGTACTTAGATTTCTTCAAATTGTAAAAAGGGGGCTAAATTTTTTCACTGATTTTCTGAATGCCAAGATCACTGAAAATCCAGCGTGATTGTTGAAACCTTTCCAAAGGCATGAGATTCTGCTTTAGTAACTTCATTAGAATAGTCTTAAGGCAGAAACACCCTACCCAGAAACTGCACCACCCTTGTCCATGGAAAGGGTTCCACTATTTGAAAGACTGACATGACAAAGGGCTAGTCCCTTTTTGCATAATTCTGCACCTACGGAGCACCTGCAGGGTGCTCTGCCCCATTCCAAGTGAGGAAGACACAAGACAGCAAAGGGCACAGCCCTAGCACGCAAGCTGTCAAAAATCACTCCTGACAACATCCACATTCTTACCACACTTCCCAGTGAGGCAGTTTACCCGAATGACACTATTTACTCTCCCGAACTGATGTAGGGGCAGGTAAGTCTCTTTATCCTTAAATCATCCCCACAGAAAGGGAGAATGGTTGATCCCCATCACTGGGCTGGACAAACTGAGGAAGCAGCTAGCGGAGGGCTGGTCCATATCCCTCCTTCCTCTCTGGCCAGCACCAAAAGCAGAAGCATGGATTTCTGACATCCCACTTCCAAGCCTGCTGATTCCGCGAGAAGGAAGACTCAAACTCCAGCTCCTTTCTGCAGAGACGCACACGAACCCAGACACCGCCCGGCCCCATCTCCCTGGACCTGCAGGTGGAGGCACGGTAATGGTGGACGCAGGAGGTGAAGAGGAAAGGAGGCGCCCTCAGCATCCCCTATGGTCCCAAGTCGCTGCCAAGGCCAACCGAGGCCGCAGGGCCAGGGACCCCTGACTCCCCGCCCACGATGGGTACCTTCGAGTACTCCTGAGCCAGCTTCTGGTACTTCCCCTGCAACTCTGCTGAGGCCATGGCCTCCCCCGCCCCGTCCAGGCCAGGCCGCCAGGGCCGCTCAGCCCCGCCCCCCGCCCCCAACCCCACACTGGCCCTCTGGCTGGGCTGAGCCAGCGTCTGCCTCTCGGCCGCCGCCGCGCCTCCTCCTCCACTTCCGGGTTTCAGGGCGGGAGGATGGCGGAGCCGGGCTCGAGGGCGGGGCGACTACCGGGGGCGGGGCTATGGCTTGGTATCGCCGCTCCACCCTCCTCCTGTGCCCAAGCCTGCGCATGCGCAGACTCGCCTGCGCGACAGTGCTTGGCCTGTGGCCTGGGACGCCATCTTGGACCATGCGTCAAGATGGCGGCCCGGAACGAAAAGAGCTCGAGCGGTGAAGGGAGAGAATGAAGGGCCTCGGAATGGACGGAACGTCGAGGAAAGATACAGGGGTGGCGGGGAGCGGAGAACCGGAAGAAGAGACATTCTAAGAGCAGTAAGAATTCTGACCTCCCAGCCCCGTGGTTCCCATGGCAACCGCCTGCAGCTTATTGGGTGCATCCTTCAAGATGGGCGTGGAAGGCTGTAGTCCCCTGTCTGGTTATCTGGATATACAAGGCTTGCTCTACACTGTAAACTCTCAGACCACATGTTTACAACGCTTACCTTCTCCCCTGTTTTGACATTGTGAGTTCTTTGTGTCCATTCTCTACCCATGTGCTGCATGCCCACCCCTGACACATTAGAGCCATTTCCAGTGGATTGAGAAAAGGGCCGTTAGGAAATTTGAGATAATGGTTTCTGCCATGTATACAGACATGGGGAACGTTAACAGTCTGTTTGGTTTTTTTTTAACTGCAAAAATTAATTAGCCCAGCGGGCTGGAGAGATTGCTCAGCAGTTAAGAGAGCTACTTCTCTTAGCGGAGTACCCGGGTTTGCTTCCCTGTACATGTCAGGCAGCTCACAACTCGAGCGCCAGGGACTCCAATGCCTCTGGCCTGCCTGGGCACCTGCACTCTCACATGCACATACCCACACACAGACATAATTTTTTTTTAATAATTGTTTTATCTAGTTAGCCTGAGATATCCTAATGATGCTTTTGCTTGAATTAAAAGCTATACCACCACCACCCGTTCCTTTAAATATTTTTTTACAGTTGTGTTGAGCATTTAACTGCAGCTTTGAAGCAGTTTGTTGATAGAAGAATATGGATAAACATAGTCTATGTTTGCCCTGAATTATATGAAGGGTAAAACTAATGAACTACACATCTGTATATATCTATACCTCTGTAAAAATCAATATGTAAAACACCATGTTAAAAAGTAAATTGCAGTATGACATAGATACATTTTTAAAATATGAAACAGCTGGACATGGTTGCCCATGCCTGCAGTTCTAACACTTGGGAGGCTGAGACAGGAGGATTGCAATGAGTTCAAGGGTGGTCTGGGCCACATAGTGAACTACAAACCAATCTAGGCTATATAGCAAGACCCTGTTTTTTAAAAATTCATGTAATATTTGCATTGTTCTTAAACACATGTACATGTAAAAATACAGAACCAGAAATGATACACATAAAATTCTGGATAGCTGTTGCTTCTAGTAAGAAATGGTTGGATCAACACTTTTGAATGCTTAAGAGTCATTAGTGAAAAGAAAGAAGAAAAAAAAATCTGTACTATCCTAGTTTCCTGTTTACCTGTGAGCAAACCAGAAATTATATAGTGAGGGGTTCAGCCTGTGTCTACTTTCTGTAAGAGTTATAAACTAAAAATATGTTTGTTTTTTTAAAGTTTTAAAAAAAAAAATTTTTTGTTTTTGTGTTTTTTTTTTTTTTTTTTTGGTTTGCTAATAGATAAGTACTACTGCCCAAACTTTCAATATAATAGTTTCTAAAATTATCATTAGTTTTTTGTGGCACCACTAGGTGGCAGAATTAAATATTATAAATATATTTCCATGGATTGTAAAAGAATGGAATTTTTTATTGTTTTAAAAATTCCATTCCAGAAAGAATATGTAACTTTAGCCAGAAAGATGATGTGAATTCATATTACTGCATTTAGAAATTTATTTCCAATGACTGGCTATTCAGTCAGACATACTGTTTTTTAAAACTCCAGTTGATAAATCTGAATAAATTAAAGAATCTCCTTCTCAAAAGATATCATTAAGTAAAAAGACAAGCCACAAAGGGGAAGAAGATAGTTGCAGCATAGGTACTCAACAGAGGTCTCTTAGCCAAATAGTTAAAAAGGTCTTTCAAATCAATAAAAAAGACAAGCAACCAAATAGGAAAACCACCAAGATACTTCAACAGGCATTTCAAAAAGGAGCTGTACAAACAGTAAAATATGTGAAAGTTCTTTCATTTCATTAATGACCACGAGGAAATGAAATTACAACCACAATAATATACCACTCACTACGTAGTATCACAAAACTAGACTTGGGCATGGTGACACACACATGTAGTCACAGCACTTGGGAAACTGAAGCAGGAGGATCAGGAATTCAAGGCCAGCATTGGCTACATACAAGTTTAAATACAGACTTGGCTACCACAGGCTATGTCTCAAAAACACAAAATAAGGGATTAGGTCTGTAGTTTAGTTGGTGGAGCGTTTTCCTAGCATGCAGGAAGTCCAGAGTTAGATTCCCAGCACCACATAAAACTGGGCATGGTAGCCTATAATCTCAGCACTCGGGATAGATGTAGGAGAATCAGAAGTTCGTGATCATCCTCAGGTTATTTGGAGCTCCAAGACCAATATGGGCTACATGATATCCCATATCAAATACCAAAAAAAAAAAAGCAAACAATTGTTTTGAGGGGGGTTGTTTTTCAGGGAGGGGTGGTTTTGTTTGTTTATTTTTCTGTCTCCACTGCAAATGTCAGAAACCTCAAATTAGATTGGATTCCAAGAGGGAATGAGGCTATCTCATAGAACAATAGAAAGAAATTGGAGCTAACCAGGCATGGTGGTCCAGAAATCTCAGTGTCTCTGCCTTTGCCTATAGCCTTCTGTGGGGTAATAGTAGTGGCCCACAGCTCTTAAACCTCTGGTCGCAGTTTTGCCTTCATTGCCTTCAGTGAGAAACTAGGTTGCCTAGTTCTAGTTTTGAAAAAAAAAAAAAAATGTCGAGGAAAGCCATTAATTGGCCTCACTTGGGTCAGGCACCCATTCCTGGGACAGTTAATTCTAGTGTGTTTAATAGAACAGGCAGGTCAGCTGGGAGCGCCCTCATGCCCTGACCAAGCCAAGAGAGATTAAATTACTCTCTTCAAATGAAGACTTATGTGGCAGGAGCCACCGAGGCCTGTAAGGACCAAAATGCAGCAACAGAACTTACTTTTGAAGATCCAAGTTCTCCTGATGTTGCCCTTGAGGGCAGTGTGCTCACACAGATAGAACCCGCCTTGAGAGGGGACAAAACATGAAACAAATGACCATTGTTTTTTGAAAGGTGGGACTGTTATAAATAGGCAGAGATATTATTAATTGGTTGAGCTCAGTTTTGACCTTTCAGTATAATGGGGACTTAGGAGTATGCCTACAGCTGTCCAGCAGAAAGGAAAAGCTGTTTTCTCCTCTGAGCGTAGGATAAATCACTGTCATCCTGATAGGGGACGCAAAGCAGGAAGAAAGGGAATGAAAAGGGCTTCCCAGGCACTGTTTGGGACACATACATAGCTATATCAGTTTCCTCTAGTACAAATGGCAGGACCCATGGCCAAAAGCATCCTTTCTGAAGTAGACAGCAGTCTGCAGGAGAATGCTACCGTCGTAATGGCCTCTGACAGAAATAGCATGGCTAAAGGTCAGTAATTCCCTTTGCAAGTGACTTGATAATACCCTTTGATATATGTAGAGGGCTGGTGCTTCCCTCACCAGAATGAGGCTGGAGACCTACTTCCATAAGGAGAAAATCCTGCTTTGCAACCCAAACACTAGCCTAAAGCCAGAAGGTGAAAAGAAGTTATGATACAATTGAAGACTTGAGAAATGGAAGGAGGAGCTGGAGAGATGGCTCAGAAGTTAAAAGCACTGGCTGCTCTTGCAGAGGACCCGCAGTTCAAATCCCAATACCTACATGGTAGCTAGCAACTGTCTGTAACTCCAGTTCCAGGGGATCCAACACCCTTGTCTGACCTCCGCAGGCACTACACAGCACATGTGCACTTATCTCCATGTAAGCAATAGACTCATATACATAAAATAATATTAAAAAAATAAATGGGAGGAATGACTATCCTGAGATGAGATTTGCACTTAAATATTCCCAAGACCGTCTCTCACTGAAGCTGCTTGAAGATTCACTGCTAAGCTTACCGACTTTCTGATGTCTAACTTCTGAGAAGTGTTACCGTTTTCCTTCCCCCTCTTTCAGTCTCCCTTCTTGTAGATAAGCAAAAGTCCTAAGACTGTTTGCTGGACACCCTGAATATTTTCATTCTCTTAAGGACAACCCTCCCCACAACCCCGCAAGCTGCTGGCAGATTTCTATTGCTGAGCCTCTCTGATTTCTTGATTCCAACTCAAAAAGCAAATGTAATTTTGTCTCTTCCTCCCATTTCCATCTGTCTTCCCAGCAGCTAGCTGACTGACCTGTCATTTTTCCTGTTCCAAACTCTAATAAAATTACCCATGAGTTTTCTCCTCAGTTCGTTTTTAAATTATTTAATCAAGAAGACCAAGAACCTGCAGAAAGAAGCCCTACCCACAGCGACGCTCACACAGCATAAGCCAGAAAATGTTTTGTTTGTGATGTTTATATTTCACCCTGAACAACAGGTGTAAGGATAAGCAGAACTTGGAGGCTTCCTTACACATCACAGAGTGAAAACAATGGACAACAGAGCTTGCCAGCATCCATACAGGACACAAAGTGAAGTGGAATGCAGAGTGGAAAAGAGGAAGAAGGCACTCTGTCCAGGTCCTGCCTGAAAGGCTACTTCATTTTTTTCTATCACAAAGATTTTGATCCTTTTGAGCCAGTGTAAGAAATAGTAAATATGTGTGTGTGTGTGGTGTGTGTGTCTATAAAACATTAAATATCAGTCCTTGCTGTCAAACAGTGTAAAACTTTGGTTTAGGACAAGAAATTCAAATCTTTAATCCCCTACAC